CCCCCCACCCCGACAGAGACGCGTCTGTGAAGACCGGCACGTGGTGTGTTGGTCTGCTCAGGGGAACTCCTGCTGACAGTGTGTGTGTGGGTCCCTCCAGTGGCTTAAAACCGCCTCCACTGAGGAGGGGATCGATACGATCCTGCGCTTGTGGCGTATCGGATCGATCTTTAGCCGGGAGAACCACCGCTGTAAACGTCTCGTGTGCAGCAGCCCGAGCGGAACCACCGCGTGGGCTGCTGACATCATGCCCAGAAGGCGCATGATAGTTAGAGCTGTCACCGACCTGCGGGGTCTGACAAGCGCTAACAGCGACAGCAGAGTCTCTTTTCTGGTTAGAGACAGATGAGCTGTCATGGTGACAGAGTTCAGATCCACACCCAGATACGTGATGGATTGGGCCGGAATGAGAGAACTTTTTTTCCAGTTTATGGAAAAACTCAGCATCCTGAGGTGTGCTGACAGTTTCTCTGTCTGTGACGCTGCTTCCTGTCTGGATGGAGCCAGCAGGAGCAAGTCGTCCAGATAAAACAGGATTCTCATTCCTGCTGAGCGCAGAGGCTGCAGTGCTGTCTCYACGCATTTTGAGAAGGTGCGTGGTGCCAATGCGTAACCGAAAGGAAGACGGTTGTACTGGTACCGAGTCTGCTGAAGAAAAAAAACGCAGGTATTTTCTGTGCGCCGGGATGACCGGGACATGAAAATAAGCGTCTTTCAGGTCGATTGACGTGAACCAATCGCCTTCCTGAACACATGTGAGCATCTGTTTGGTGGTCGACATGTGAAAAGGTCTTTTCAGTATGAATTTGTTGAAAAATGAGAGATCCAGGATCGGTCTCATTGCACCCGTTTTTTGGGAACAAGGAAATACTGGGAATAAAAACCCTCGTATTCCTCCCCACTTGGAACTCTGGAAAAGACTTCCTTGTTTAGGAGTTCCTGGAGCTCTGCTTGAAGAGCGAGATCCTGCCGAGGAGACGGCAAGTGGGTCTCCAGGATCCTTCTGAAACGGGGAGGCTTGGTTGCAAACTGCATCCACTTGTCCATAGGACAGGTGTGTTCCCAGACGGAGCTGCGCTCTGAGAGAGCTCGCGCATGCGCCGGTTGTAGAACGGTTGTCATAGCAACCGATCCACTCAGAGCCTTCGCCACCGTCACGCTCTCTCGTGTGACCCATGGGAGGCTTTGCTTGAAAGGGCTGTGCAGGAGCTCCGGGGAGCCCTGCGCGCCGTTGTTTTGAATGCGGCCCGGGAGGGGTTGCCTCCGGGGCGTACATGAGCATGAGTCAGGGCGAGTTTCAGCGGAGCCAAACACAGCGCTCATCGCGCCGCTGTGATTGGTGGATTAATGCTGAAATGAGGCGAGGGTGACACGCCCCTGCTTGTGATGTGGCTCATGCTGCCTGCCTTCTCTTACGTCCGCCGTTCACCGGCGGGGTGAAGAGAAGAGTGTGTGTGTGTTCGCCGGCCACAAGGGGGCGGGACAGACCACCGAACGTGGAATGGTGGGAGAAGACGTTTTTGTGTGCCTGTGTTTAGCAAGGACCAGAGGCCGGCTAGTTTCAAAACTAGCCATCGGATGATGCCCGGGAGGGCACTCACAAGAGCCCTGATGGCTGGTAGTGGCGTGGAGGAAGAGCGAGGGAGACCCAGGTCCCTGGGTCCCTCCTCTCCTGGGAGGTCCGCGTCCAGCCCTGCCATCTGGGAGGGGTGGATCGGCCCGCCACTGTCGCCTTCGGCCTCTGACGCGGGGTCATCCGACTCCGGTCCAAAGTTGATGAGTTTGTCGAGCGGAACGTGGTCGGACAACTCGAACCCCTCATCTGGGTCAGCAAAGAGGTCGGCCCGCCGCTGTCTCTCCTCCACCGGCAGTTTTCTGCATGCACGGCATGCCGGCTCGGCCGTCAGAGCCTGGTTAGCGTGGTCGGCGCCGAGGCATCCCTCGCACGTCACGTGCAGGTCGGTGGATAGCATGTATCCGGCGTTGCAGGCGGGGCAAATCTTCATTTGACCGGGCATCTTGATGAAGTTCGAATGGCGTAGCTACTGATCTCGATAGCTGAAGAAAAAAGGGGAGCTGAACTCAGGTCCGTCCTCCCCTTTTATACGGACCGAGGCGGGGCCCACGTTATGTGGGCATGGACTATTGGTTCTTCAGAATGTGTGAGCGTGTGTGGGGGTACCCATCAGCTATAGCGTTAGAGGGCGGAGCTTACACGAACTAGAAGCCTCGTTGACTGTGTTGGTCCGCTGCTGTGACGAGGCTGTGTGTCCGCCATATTGGAGGTGGCACCGCTGCCCATTGAACTACTACAAATGAATGGACTTTGATTCATAAAACACATTTTAACAGAAATTTACATTAATACGGCACCATCATTTATTCAAACACACATACACAAATTGAGAAAA